CAAGAGTTATCCCCTTTACTTGACCCTTCAACAGATTTTTTCTTCTAGCTACTTTCAAGGGATGAAACAGTGAATAGTATTGATTAGTTTTCTGTTGTTAAAGACCTTATAGCATGGTTGGAAGCACCTGCGAACTTTTACTACCGTTGAAATCTTATTGTGTATCTTCCTACACGCATACATGAGCATGCAATATACTCATCCACAGACACATATTTAAAGGTTTTAGATCACGTAGTGATATCAGTGCATTGTCTCACTAGGCCCAGAAAGGGATTTGAAAGGGCCAGAGAAGGAGGCTGGTATAAGTGAACTACTGCACTCTGTATTGCTGGTAGGCCTCGGACAGGAAGAAAACCGAGCACCTGTCAGCTACTCCACTATCCAGCTCCAGCGGAGATGGGAATGTCGACACCGAATTGTCAGATATTTGGAATTGTAAAAAAACACAGGAAATCCAGATTTTTATGTGTACTCTCCCAATTATTAAATCTTGCCTCAAAGTTATAAAATATTGACAAATGAGCAAAACATGTTTATGGACATATTTGGCCTGCCAGCCCATATTTTATGATCTTGGGCATTTACTGGGTTATGATATTTTCAAATAAAGATAATATGACATTAGATAATCTTCTAATGCATCATTTTAACGAGTACATGACATTTAGTTTTATGGCCATACTATAACTTCATTAAGTAATCTTCTATTTGTGACACTTCAGTCATTTCCAGTTTTTCACTCTAGTAAAAATTGGTACAGCAAATTTTCTTACGGATGATTTTTTTAAAAATAGATCTCTGATTGCTTTTTTAGGATAAATTCCTATACATTGGATTATTGGCCAAGGTTATATACACTGTTTTGAGAGTAATATCCCACCAGCAATTAATGATTATGTTATTTTCCTATATCTGGTAACAAAAATAAAAATTCTTTAAAAATAATTTGCAAATTAGATAAATAAAATATTGATTTGTGAAGTTCTATATTTTTCATGTTATTGACCATTGGTATTTTTTATTTGCCCTTTTTCTTTTTACAGCAGATTTTTTGGCATGTGTTACATCTATTGATATTTAACTTCATGATATCACTTAAAATTACTTACTCCATTTCAAAGTAAATATATAATGATCATTTCTTTTAACTATTTCATATATTTTGTACTTGAAACCATAATTTATATGGACTATATTTAGAATAAGGTATAAAGAGACCTAATATTATTTTTTTCCAAAGAGTGTAGTCATGAAATATTTATTGGACAATTTACACTTTCTCCACAAATTCGAAAACTGGTTCTATCATCTACTAAATATTTTCATATATTTAGGTCTATTTTAGAACTTTCCATTCTAGTGCATTGTTTTATTTGTCTATTCTTGCACCAGTAACATTATTTTTCTGTTGTTATATTAAAAAATATATAAAAGCCTTAATTACAAGTGTCAATTATTAGTGTTTAATTTTTAGTTATCTTTATTATATTTTCATGATATTTTATATAAACTTTAGAATATTTTGTGAAACCTCTTATCCTTATGGAATTTTTATTTAATTATTATAAATTGATTTTGGAAAATTAACTTGATTATGTATTGAGTATTTACATCAAAAAATATTTTCCATTCATTCAAGTTCTCTCTCTTATCCCTTTGTGATGCCTTGTAGTTTTCTTCATATAAATATTTGTTATGAAATTTTTATAGATTGTGTTTGTGTATGTATACTTGTATATCTTGCTAAGATTGACTTTACTTACTTTTAATTGCACAATTAATGGAATCTTTTGGCCACTGCATTTCTAATTGTAATGTATGCATATGTATATAATTTATATAGACTATAGGGGATTATTAATTTTGTTTTTGGCCATGTCTACATCATCTGTATAGAATATATTAATATATGAAAAATATTATTTTATATTTGGTCACTTTCCATGTATAAATAATTGATCTATTAATTAAAATTTATGCTTGTATAAAATTATGCTTATATATTTATTAAAGTTTATCTTTTTTTTTAAGTTCATCTTTTTCCATAGCTTTCTCACCTCTAAATAAGGATTGCTGCAATAACTTGGATTAAAATTTATGCTTGTATAAAATTATGCTTATATATTTATTAAAGTTTATCTTTTTTTTTTAAGTTCATCTTTTTCCATAGCTTTCTCACCTCTAAATAAGGATTGCTGCAATAACTTGATAGGTATTCTCTCACTTCCAAGTTTATCCCGTATAGAACCGAAAGTTTTCCAAAATAATGAATATATCACCTAAATTTGAATAGCCCCTCTTTTCTATTAAACAAATGTTTTCAATCTGTATTCAGCTGAGATCGTATAGGATAGAGTCCCATTCATAAGTTAGTCTTTATCAATAATCTAATAATTATGACAATTATTTTAGTAAAGGCAATAATGCTAAATGTGTTTCTTTGTTGGAAAGAAACAGAAGACAATTTAGAGATTGAATACTGTATAACGAAATACAAGGGTATTTCAGAAAGTTCAGGGGAAGATTAATATTATCTTTTAATTGTATTTTTCCATGAACTTTTTTTTTTTTTTTTTCCTTTTTGTCTTTTTTCGTGGCCGGCAACGGATCGCAACCCTCAGTGTCGCGCCCGTACCAGACCGGAACTGGCAACGGGATCGCAACCCTCGGTGTTGCTCCCGCCCCTCGCTCAGCCAGTGAGCGGCTGGTCTGTATGTGGGATCCGAACCCTCGGCGGGAGCACCACCGCGCTTCCCAAGCGGCGCACTATAGCAGTGCGCCACCGGGCCGGCCCACCATGAACTTTTTGAAGCACCCTCGTATATACTTCTGTATCAAATGAGGAATTGATCTTGCTTATGTAGTGTAGCTCTGCAAATTAAATGTGAGGTGAAAACAATATTTTTAAGGCAAAGACATAGCATTGGTGTTATGTTACAATGCAAGAGCAACTCAAAAATAACTTTCACATGAAATAACCACTAACTGTCAGTAATCATGGACACAAAAAACATTACTGACTCTTCTAAATCATCATTGATATTTGAGCTCTGACACTTTTGTCTATAAAAATGACAGGTTTATTTTTGCTTTAGAATGTTCCCTCATTGTCCCTGAGGTCTGTCACTTTGTGATGGGGAGGTCAGGAAAGGGGTTGGAGCATGAGAGCAGGTACAGGCAGAGAGCCAGAGAGAGCATTTGGAATAGCAAGGTCCTGATTTCACCTTTCATGATTAGTCTTCTGCATTTACATGGCATCACCACAACCATGTGCAAGCATGATTTAAACAATGCAGCAGAAACATTTCTTTTTTTAGAAAAAAAAATATATATGTTGATTGAATTTTTTTACTTTTCATTTGGTGTCTATGACCTCTATGTAGACTGAATTCACAAATGCTTTCTTCAAAAAAAAAATAGATTCGGGCATGAAAAGCATTTTTCCCCCACCTTACCTTTTTCCCCTTTGCTTGGAATTGGATTTCCTTGATCATAGAACTTTGGAATGAGTCTAAAGACTAATGTGTATGAAGGCTTTTTTAAATTGATGAAATAGCATCAAAACCATACACCTTTCCCATTTCCATGTTCTTCCTATCCTTCAGTGAGAAACAGAAAGCCATCATGCTGGAGTTGTCTGCTTTCCCATCCATGGTTGCCCATGGCCTTCTCTGTACACCTGCTATAGGTCTGTGGCTTCACCTGCAAGAGTTTGTGCATGTGCACTGCCTTGCATCTCTCTCTACAGACCCCAGGGAACTCATATTGAGAAGAGCTAACAGTTTCTGAATCTCTAAGTAATAGGCCCAATGTCAAGGGTGGATTATTTTTATCCTCACTTTTGTTGGTAAGAAAACCAAGGCAGATAAGGTGAGTAAGTTTTCCTATGCCAGCCAGCCAATGGTGGTCCTCAGACTTGAAGTCAAGGGGGTCTTGTAGCAAAGCTTTTGCTCCCGATCATGCAAAATTCTCACTTGTTGGAACAGAAATATGTTTACCTGCTCCCTCTGTCTCTGTTTCCATCTCAGTGTGTGTGTGTTCTGTGCATGTGTGGCGATACAGTTATAACTCAATTCTATAAATAAAAACACCACTCAGTGAATTGGGCTTACTATAAGTGCATCAATATCTACTATGTCTGTGTGAATGTGATGGCTAATTTTATGTGTCAACTTGGTCAGGTCATAATCCCAGTTTTTTAACTGAACTTGAACCTAGGTATTGCTGTGGAAGTATTTTGTAGATTGTGGTCAACATCAACAATCAATTGAATTTAAGTAACTGAGACTGCTCTCAATAATGCAGGTGGGCCTCATCCAATCAGTTGAAGCCTTAAGAGCAAAACTAAGGTTTCTCGGAGAAGAAAACTTACTTTAAGACTGCAGCATTAACTCCTGCTGAGTTTCTAGCCTGCTGGCCCGCCCTACAGATTTAACACTTTCTAGTCCCCACAACTGCATGATCCAATTCCTTAAAATGAATCTAGATATATAGACAGACAGATACATAGATGATAGATAGATGAGTCAATCCTTGTTATTCATGGTAGTTATGTTTGATAAAATTAACATAAACACTGAATTTGTGGATATTTCATCATTTTTCCTTGGGGGAATATAAGATCAGGATTAGAAAATTTTGAAAAATAAAAAAAATTTCAAAAACTCAAAATTTTGACATATTAAGCCATGTATTTAAGGTGGAGTGTGGAAGCTGTTTCTGATAAGTTGGACCAACTTGATTTTGAATAGCCGCTATACCTTAACATATAGCTTGTCTCTGGCCTGTGGTTGGTCTATTTAAGCTGAAATTAATAGAAATGTCCTAACCTGACAACCTAGATTAATTGATATTTTTAAAATCATAAGAATATCTGATATTCAATTTGACCTGACATATTTACCTTTCCAAAGACTTATTGTGACTTCATAGTATCTTAATGTTATATCTATAAAATGTATTAATTTATTTATTTAAGAAAATTATTGAGCACTTACTATATGCCAGGCATTGGGTGCTGGGGATACACTCTCGATCAGGTAAGATCCAGAACCTGCACTCATGTTGCTAACAACCTGGTAGAAAAGAGAGACAAGAAATGTATGGTAAACAGTAAAAATAATTATAATTTGCCCTTAAACGGGAAAATAGAGCATATTAATCTTTATAAGAACAGAACTTGAACTGGGATTACTGGAAGAAAAGTCTTCTGGGGCCCAAGTTAGAAATTAAAACTTGAAGTAGGTGCACCTAGAACTCATCAAGACAAAGCTTTACTTCATCAGGAACACCAGAAGACTGGCATCTCACCCAGGCCTGGGAGTAGAATCCCATGTATTAAAAAAGAAGCAACTCTGAGAAACACAGTCTAAGAAAAGGCCTGCAGCCCAAAGAAGTGTGATAATAGGAGGTTTTACAGCCCTGGCTCTAATTAAGAAATAGGAATTGGTGATCGTATACATGATACAGAGTACGTTTGCTAAATTCCCTCACACAGAATCATTGAAACTGATTATGCATATAATTCCATTAGACATGGCAGAGGAAAGATTTCCATCTAA